AAAATTGATAATTTATGTACTAAATGCATAATTTACCCAAGAAAATATTATGATTTTTTTATTATTCAAGCCAAACGGTCTAAGTAATTAATAGATTATTGTTATTCTTAAGGTATCGAGTATGCACATTCATTATCACATGATTAAGAGTTTTTTAACTGATATTATTTTGTATCCAGCCAAAATTATTAAAATATATATATAATATTTTTATTAAATTTAATTCTAATTTCAATTTGTGAATATCTTGGGGTCAATGTTATTTAAAAATTATGTTAAGATTAGGTAAGTAACAATAGAAGCCCCACCTTCCCATCTTGATTTTACTGAAATTTAAACAACACCATGTGGATGGCTCAACAAAATTATCTATCATGCCGATAAAAAAATTTGAGGTAAAGTATATTTTAGTCCTTAGATTCGAGGAAAAAACCAATTTAATCTATGTTTTTATATATACATATTAGTTTTCTGGGTAAACTACACGTTAGTATCTAAAAGTTCAATTTCATTTCATTTTAGTACTTAAACTTTCATTTGTTCCAAAACAATACCTAACATTTATTTTTTATTTTATTTTAGTATATGTCATTAAAAACTTAACGGAATTGTTGCAAACGTGGCATTTATTATAGGTAAATTACATCATTCATTACTTAACTATCTTTTCACTCCTATTTTGGTCACTAAAGTTTCAAAATTTTCAATTTAACTACTCAACTTTTAAATGCTCATGTTTTAATCACTCTAATTTATTTTATTAATAATTTTGTTACATGACATTTTTATTATTATTTTATTAATATATAATTAAATTTAAAAAATAAATTTGAATGTTAGAGTGATTAAATTAGGAGTATTTTGAAAGTTAAGTAATTAAATTAAAAAAATAAACTTCATTGATCAAAATATGAGTGAAAAGATAGTTTAGTGATTAATGATGTAATTTACCCACATAAAAGTGTCATTTTGTAACAATTCCATTAAGTTTTAATGGTGAGGTACCTAAACGAAACAAAAATTAAATGTTGATATGATTTTGAAATAAATGAAAGTTTAGGTACTAAAACAAAACAAAATAGATAATTTATGTACTAAATGTGTAACTTACCCTAATTTTTTTTATCGTAATTATCTACATTAGTTTTAAAATTAGATTTCTAATCATTTTAATGATATTACATTTTCATATTATATCGCATGTTTAAATTATAAAGATAATATTATATTTTTAAATAATCAATTAATCTATTGAAATGATATAATAGATCCTAAACAAAATTAGGAATTTGTATATTGACGTTATAAATAAACAATTTAAAGAAAATGATCATTAAATTATTACTTGGTAATTGAATTAATTTCAACTATTACACTCATTTGATAGACAACGATCCTAAATCTGTATAAACTTAAAAAAAATTATATTCTATAAGTGAATCCTATATATATATACAATGAACAAAATTATATAAAATTAATAAAATTAACCAAACCAAATACCAAAATATTGTAGATAAAAATTCTTCAAAGTTAATTAAAAATATTTTTAAATAATAAAAACATCATAAACAATATTCAATGTTGCTCAAACTTGGGTCTCACCCTTAGGGATAATATTATTTAAACCTGAATTATTGAAGGTTAATAAATCATCTTGAACAACTGAAACTATTTAAAGGATAATTAAAAATATCTTAAAATAATAAAATATCATTAAAAATATTATTTAGTGTTGTTCAAACTTGGGTCTCACCCTTACAAATAATATTATTTAAACCTGAATTATTGAAGGATAATAACTCATCTTCAACTATTTAATGGATAATATTATTTTATTTATTTTTTGACGTCTCGAGTTTGAGCGTCAGAGATGTCACAGTGAGTATTCAATGTTTGAGATTTATCTTTGAACATATATTATATTATACTTACCCTAAATTAATAAAATAATTCAATATTATATAAGATTAAAATAACTAATGTAGCGGAAGATTTGTTAGTACAATAACTAAATGTATAAATATAAATTAATGAAAATTTTAAATATAATTTAATTAAAAAATAATATTTATAAAACATTAATTTTTAGGTAAATTATACCATTGACCACCTAACTATTTACCCCTTTTACTTTAACTACCATTTTTTCAATTTTGTCAATCGGGTCACCTAACTATTTAAATTTTGTCAATCAAGTCACCTGCCGTTAAATATTAATGGATGAGATGATGTGGCAGTTAATAAAATTTGTATAATTATACATTTAGTCCTCATTACTTATACGTTCTATTAATTTGATCCTAAATTTTATTTAATTCAACAAATTTAATCTTCAATCCGATGGTGACATGTGTCAATGTGTGATTGTATTCTTTTAATATTTTATTTAATAAAATTTTCATCTAATAAAGTGGTCTCACGTGTCACAAATTGAACAGATGAAAAATAAATTAAATAAATAACCACTACTGGTGGGGTTTAAACCTGGGATGCAAGCCGAAAAAACTGAGTGCCTTAACCACTAAGCTAAATAACTAAATTTGTTTTGTATACAAAACATAATCTATATAATCTATAATATAGTTTATGGTATTAAATGACCTTATAACAAAAAATGAAATAATTGAATGGTATGAAAATATAAAACATATATAAACAAATATATGATTGATTAATAAATGAATATATTTTATTTATATTTTAAATTACATTTAATGAAAAAATTAAAATAAAAGTGAATTTAATATGCTATAATTGAAATGTATCATTTTACATATTTTAAATTAATAAATTGTCTTTATTATCTAATTTTATTGAACTGAAATGTATCATATTTTATATTTTAAAATATTATAACGTCGACCAGATTTTAATTTAATTTAACAACTATATATTAAAATAGACTAATTCAATAAAATCAAGTTTCCCTAAAATTTTCTTCAAATATATAATGAATAAATAATAAAATATAAAATTCTTACTCTAACTGTGATATAAACAAGTCAATACATAAGTTAAAATCTTTAAAACGATAAGCCTTCAACTATAAAAAAAATCTAAGCCAACTAAGCTCTTCGTTATATTTCAATTATAATATATTAATTTTTTTTATTTTTCATTAAAATTTAAAATATAAATAAAATACATTCACATATTAATCAATTATAATATTTGTGTGTATATATATATATCATATTATTGTATTATTCAATTATTCCATGTTGGAGCTCTTAGTATGTCATTTTTCCTTTTTATTGCCATTAACTATATATATTATGTCGTGATAGGTTTGTCATTTAAATGGTGCAACCCAATGGTTGGGGTGTTTGCTTCCAAATAGTTAGGTGACCCGATTGATAAAATTGAAAAAATAGTGGTTAAAGTAAAAAGGATAAATAGTTAGGTGGTTAATGGTATAGTTTATCATAAAAACTAATGTTTTTATAAATTTGTATTGTATTTTAATTAAATTATATTTAGATTTTTAACTAATTTATAATTATACATTTAGTTTTTTTTAATTTAATGTTTTATAAATTGATTTAATGGTGGTCATCGTTAACAATGCTCATCCACGCTCGACAAACATGTCATCTTCTCCGTTAATATTTAACGACATGTGGTTTGATTGACAATATTTAAATAATCAGGTGGTCCGATTGACAAAATTGAAAAATCGATTGTTAAAGTAAAAAGGGTAAATAATTAGATGGTCAATGAAAATTGAAAAAAATAGTGGTTAAAGTAAAAAAGATAAATAGTTAGGTGGTTAATGGATAGTTTATCATAAAACTAATGTTTTATAAATATTGTATTGTATTTTAATTAAATTATATTTAGATTTTTAACTAATTTATAATTATACATTTAGTTTTTTTTTAATTTAATGTTTATAAATTGATTTAATGGTGGTCATCGTTAACAATGCTCATCCACGCTCGACAAACATGTCATCTTCTCCGTTAATATTTAACGACATGTGGTTTGATTGACAATATTTAAATAATCAGGTGGTCCGATTGACAAAATTGAAAAATCGATTGTTAAAGTAAAAAGGGTAAATAATTAGATGGTCAATGGTATAGTTTATTCTAAAAACTAATGTTTTATAAATATTGTATTTTAATTAAATTACATTTATATTTTTAACTAATTTATAATTATACGTTTAGTACTTTATAATTTAACATTTTATAAATTAATTTTAATGGTGATCATCGTTAACGGTGCTCATCCACGCTCGACGTACGTGTCATATTCTCCATTAATATTTAAGGACATGTGTCTTAATTTACAATATTTAAATAATTAGATGATCCGATTGATAAACTTGAAAAATTGGTGGTTAAAGTAAAAAAGATAAATAGTTAGGTGGTCAATGGTATAATTTATCCTAAAAACTAATACTTTATAAATATTATATTTTAATTAAAATACGTTTAGATTTTTAACTAATTTATAATAATATGTTTAGTACTTTATAATTTAACGTTTTATAAATTAATTTGATGGTGGTCATTGTTAAAAGTGCACATCCACGTTCGACGAACATTGTAGAAATTTTCTTTTACATATTACATAGATTGTCATGATCAATCTTTAGAGCAAGTGGTTAAAAAACCTCTCAGTTGACATATCTTATCTCTGTTAGATTATACGTTCAATGTTCATTATGAACAAAATTTCTCTTTCTCCTCTACTTAATCTTAAGTAGGAATTGCTCAAAAAATTTAAAGAATTAAGTTATCGTTATGATAAATATACATATATAAAATATATTTCACATGTTTTGAACAAGTATATATCATATCCGATCTAATATTTAATGTCCAAACTTATGATTAGACTGGTAGAAAGACTTTTATTGTGGTACGATGCTAACATTTTAGCGACTTAATTAGAATATTTATAAAGTTTAAGGATTAATTTAGAATCTAAATCATATTTGGGTATGTCTAATGGGTTTAACCCTAAACGAATATTTAATTTGATATTAGTCCAATATTCCAGTTCAGGTTCCACACTGTAACCCTAGCGATCGAATTAAATCCTGCAGAACTCGGGAAAAAGAATAAGGTACCCCAAGGATGAGCACGTATATGAGTCGATTGTTTCCGAGATCAAATTCCAGCATTTTCTTATGCAGTGGACAAGCCATTAAAGCTGATGCTCTACGCTTAAGGGAACAGACTTGGTTGGTGGATGCAGGAATTGGGAGCCCTAGAATTTGTACGCAAGATGAGACCTCCGTTACCGGAAAGGGAGTCAATCGATTCGAGGACAAGGTGGGATTCCTCGACAGCGGAGCGGGGGGCGGCGAGTCACTGGTCAGAAAGCGGATTCTGGAGAGATTCTTCGTCGATTTAGTGAGCGGTGATTCGTTGATCAAAGAGCGAGCCGCCGTTAGGTTTAATGATTTGCTTGGATCGAGGGCTCTCGATGTAGTCGCCGGCGAACCGACCCTCCTTAATCCACGGAGGTTCAGGCAAACCCTAGTTTGGCTTGAACTGAATAGGCTTAGGCGAAGCAATTCAACGGTCAGAGGCTTTTATATTGATAAAGTAAGAGGAGGTTATTCGGTAGCCATCGCTGGTTACGTTGCTTTTCTTCCGTACAATCGTTTCACAACAAGATTGGGCAGAAATTTATCAAATGATCGATTCACCATCGAAAATATTGAACGCAAAAGTAAGAGTGTGGTGGTGTTCTGAGAATTTGGGGGTATTACACCTACATTTGGTGTTTTAATGTTCGATTTTTTAAGACTTATCTTTTGAATGCCAATGTTGTCTCAGTTTCCTTTGGCTTTAAAATAATTGTTTTCGACAGTTTGATAACTATTAAGACTTAAATTATTTGGATTTTGAGATTTGAATGGTTTTGACTATTTTCAATTTTCCCCCTTGAATGTTTGTCTTATGATCATTTAATCTGTTCTACATCAGGTAGGAACTAGCAGAGTTTTAGGCTATTAGTTGGAGTTTTAGGAGTCAATTCCTTGTATTGAAATTTCTAATCTGTTTTGCGATGGAAGGCATGGGGGAATAACAGAGTACTGTTAAAGGGAGTAAATGGTTTACTTTATCCTATTAACAAGGTTTTGTTTTGGAGAGTTGTGATTTGAGGTGTTGGGGATTTGTTCAAAGGCGAATAAAATCCTTCAAATCCGGAATATTCTGCTTGATAATTTCCTTTTTACCTCGCACTAACTCATGGTGCAATGTTAATGGCGTATAAACTAAGAAACTCTTTTATACTATCAGCTTTCCATCTGCTTGCTCTGTTTTACCTTCAAATCCCTCTTAATATCGTTAGTGTTTAAAGTAGAAAGCACATTTTCACTTCCGTTATAGTCTCTTCAAGAATAATGTATCAACTTCAGACTCCTCTTTCTTTAAATAGGGTTCCTTTGCGTCAAATGGTGAAATAGTTTTTGAAGTAACATTACAAGGAGGGAAAGAGGTGTAATGTACTTTCTGTGCATGCTTTGATGACAGTGATGCCCTTGCATTTGTCACTTAAACCGGTTGGATTGGTTCTGATTCAAGTCAATTCGGGTTGGATCGTTTTGGGTTTTATTTTTTTTAGGATTTTGTTCAAGTCACTAGAATTTACGATAATTTCATATCTTAATGGTCTCTTGATATTCATATAATTGTGTGGAAACAAAGTCAATAGTTTGCAATTGGTTTAGGGGATAATTAAGGGCCTATGTGGCCAATACACACATGATAAGGTTTGCCCTCGAGCAACATCATCAGTAGCTGTAGCTACAAATTTATAGCCTATGTATCCACAAATAATCTTCCTTCTAGAGCCTTAGGGGTAAGTAAGCATTCGTTTGAGTTTATATTTTTTGAGTTATTAGAGTTGATGAGTCTTATTTTATAATATATATTTTATTTTTCTTAATACTATTTGATTTAAATTTAAACAATTCTCTATAATAATATACAAAATGCATCTATTGTGTGCTTGTGTGTGTATATATATTTGTTCATATTTTTTTATACTTGATTAATGTGTATCATGTAGAGTTGATGGCTCATCTCAATCTTAAAAATCAATTCATTAATTACTAAACGTTTTGAGTTATTCAAATTTTATTTTATAACTCAACTCGAAGTTGAAAAAAATTCGAGTCAAGTCGAGTCCGGTTTTCTTGAGTCGAAAAAATTATTTTTTTGTAAAGAAAAACACACCATCAAAACCTCAATTAAGAAAAACCCAACCAAATATTCGACCATAAGATTTCATTCGTAAATCTAATCATAAAAGTTGATTGAAATTCGAAATAAATTGAACTAAAATTCAAGTAGATTCGTAAGAGAAAAAACTTATTTTAAAAATTAAATAGAATAATCGAATGTAAATAAAAAATATTCACAAGTATAGTTATAATGAGCTAAAACATCCAAATAAATGGAGAAAAGCAAATACATTCTTGTTGAAGAGGAAAACAAGGAAGGAACGATGCGACAGTTACCAGTGGCACTTGGAGAAAATAAAGGTTAGTTAGAGTTGAAAGAATAAAAACAAAATCTAAATTCCATGTGGCACGAGTTAATTGGTTAAAATTATTCTGGACTCCAAAAATGAAAAATGGGTATACTTTAAGATTCAAAATGAAAATAAATGAAAAATGCAAAGTAGGAAAACAGTTATACTTGGAGTGTTACTTCGTGAATTAAGCCTTAATAGTAATAGAGGGAAAAATTCAGGAGTGATCACTTAAATTTAGGTAATTTTTATTTTTCTTCTTACCATTGAAGTTACTATTTCTATCATTATTGATCTATAACGTAACTTTCTGAACTTAAGTGATGAAAGTATAAAGTAATATCAATGGTAGGGAATATTGTTGTAATTTATTCAATAATTAGTTGCAAAGTCACCGATGGATGCGCTTTGGCTCAGCCATTTTCGATCTGAAGAACAAAAGAACCAACTTTACATTTCACCCCCTTCATTTCCTCTTCTTCCTCTACGAAACTGTAATTTAAATAAAATCGAAGCTGTTAATTCCGACATTCTTTTTCTGAAAGCAATTTTCAATGGCAATTTCACGGCTTAGGAACCCAGTTTTCTCAAGAGCCGTCCCGTCTCTCTTTAGAGCACGTTTTCTATGTTCCTACGCCTCACCCAGATCACTCTCTCGGTATTTATTCTCTTCCTTTCCATTTATGAACTGTATTGGATACTTTCAATGATAATCATCTTATGCATCTGTTTGGAATCTTTTTGGATGGGAAGTAATAATGTTTAGAATTTATTTTCTTTTTTTTTCTGTGCTATTTTTAGTTTTTGAAATCGAATGGAGAATTGCATTTTTGATGTTCTTCTTTTTTTAATTGGAGAAACTAGTGATTTTGAGAGTTGGGTTTGTGAGAATTTCTGTTTTGAAATTAGATAGAGAATTTTATTGCAATGGTGCTTGAAATAAAACTATGGAGAAAAATGTTACCGGATAATCTTTCTTTCTCTCTGTAATTATATATATATATAGCCTTATTTTTTAAGTTACATTATGCATAGTGTTCTTGCTATCTAAGTAATGCTTTCATTTCCAAGTGAAAAATAGCAGTTTGTCATTTTAAGTTAACTCTTACGAGGTAGGAATCTGATTCTTAATTGTGACTTTCCTTTGTCAGTTGTATCATATGATATGTCCTTTAATTCGTGTTAAGTGTAACACCTGGACATGAGTTTCAGTTCTTTTGCTTATATCCTTCTTATCGATTTGCTGCTGCAGCACTTCAAATGTGGAAAGACCTTTCAAGGACTGGAATGGATCTTGCTTAAGGTTTGCATCTATTGACTTCCTATTGTCAAGATTAAATTTTGTTACTACGGCTTTACATGATTTGTTACTCACTTATGCACTAGTTTTACTTTTTCATCATTCATGTTCCTACTTTAAGACCTATACCAATTTAATTTTATCTGTATTTGTAACGATAACCTTTTCTTGCTTGCGTAACACAATTTAAACCAAACAACATTTAGGGAATAACTTTTAACTGGGTTTTGAGTTGGCCGATGTTGTTTTCCCTTCTTATTTTCCTATCCAAAACCAATACAATCTTGTGTAAATAACGAAAGTGGACTAAATTTGATTTAATATGCTTTTATTTGGACATATGTTGCTGGGTTGCATACTTTCTGAGTCTTACCGCTTCTTCCTCTCATGGCAGGCCCAATGCTTTGTTCAGCATATTTGGAGAATGCAGTAATTCATCAAAGCTCAAGGTTGGTATTTAATTACTACTTGCATTGTTCTGCAGTTAGGTTGTTTTCTGATGCAATATGTTTTGCAGTTGCAGATTGGAGTTCGACATTTCTCTTCTGCAGGTATACGGCATCTCTACTTAAACATTTCTCTTCTGCAGATTGTAGTTGCAGATTGCAGTTTTCAAAGTCTTGACAGAGTTCGTCTGAGTGATTTACTATGCATTTCCCCCATTTCCAATAACTGCAAAGTAGATATGATCTTATGATTGGTATCTGAGTCGTAAAAATATTTTACAACTAGAATAGCTTGACCGTTTAATCTCTCTCTCTATCTATTACAAAATGTACTTATTGGATTGGTCTCCTTGTAGAACTTATTGGTTGTTGCATGAATTTCTTGAAATAGAGTCATAACCTAGCACTTGACAAATGCTGGGCACTGGACTTATGTCTTAAATGCTAGTCATGGATATTTATCTACGCAAAGAGCTATTTACTGGTAAACTTCCACAAATTTTTTGTATATGTTGAAGTAAGAGTCATCTATATTTTATTAATCATGTCTTAAATGCTAGTCATGGATATTTATCTACGCAAAGAGCTATTTACTGGTAAACTTCCACAAATTTTTGGTATATGTTGAAGTAAGAGTCATCTATATTTTATTAATCAGAAACAATATTGCATGATGGGTGGTGGAAATTCTAAAAGCCAATTAACTAGATTATTCGGTATTAATGATACAAGGATTATGTATGAGACTGTGGTTCATTATTTTAGATTTCTCATGTTTGCCTCTCTGCTGTCTAAGGACAGATGCTGGTTAGACTAATGCTGAATCAGTATTCAGTAAATTGTCTTTGTGCAAAATCTGTTTGAAAATCTTTTACTTATATTATCTTAATGTTTCAAATTGGAATGTATCACTTTTGGTTAGGTAAGTTAAATAGATTTTCTGGTTTCATAATGCATTGGTGGGGTGTTGGGCCTTAGCCTAGCTTTAAAAGTATGGAGACGGGTTAGAATAGGTTCTAGGTTCATGTCTATTTATCAAAATGGTACATATTTCCTCTATTTTTTTTAGTAACTAGGTTTTGCATGTTTCCTTTCATTGTGATATCTGCCAAAAATTTGTATCCTTGCTTATCATTATGTTTATTACAGACCTTCCTGAGCATACGGTGCTGGGGATGCCTGCTTTGTCTCCAACAATGGTAATATATTTTGGGATGCTAAACATCATAAAATTTCTAGGATATAGATGTTCTCCCGTTATTCCATTGGTCAAGCTTGTGATACTTGTTGCTTCGGTGCAGACCCAAGGTAACATTGCAAAATGGAAGAAGAAAGAAGGAGATAAGGTGAGTTATATAAGTAATTACTGGAAGGTGTAGATTGTATGGACTATGGTCTTTATATCTGAATTATAAATTAAAGATAGTTAAAAAAGAAAAATATCTTGTGGTAAGGTCCAGATTGCAGAGAATTAATTGATTTAATTATTTCGTTGTGATTTAGTTTTCACTTTTCATGCTTATCTAACAGATTGAACCAGGTGATATACTGTGTGAAATAGAGACAGATAAAGCCACACTTGAGTTTGAATGTCTTGAAGAAGGGTAAACTATATTCTTTCCTCTTACTGCTTTAAAATTTTCAACTTCGACAGTGTTTGATTTATGGCATAATTTATTCCTTAGAGTGGCATGTTGGTAATGCCCCTAAATTTGCTCTGCCTATGGGATTTCCAGTTTCCTTTTACAGCTTAGTATTGCTTCATGTGAACCTTCTATACAATTTTCTTGTGGGGTTTCATCTTGCATAAATTGACCAAAGGGTACACCTGAATTATTGAATTTCATATCCATTCTTAATTTCTTTTCCCTTTGCTTATGGTTGGAGTGCTTATCTTCAGGTTTCTGGCCAAGATACTAGTACCTGATGGGTCAAAAGATGTGCCTGTGGGGCAACCCATTGCAGTAATGGTATTTATTCTTTTGTCAATCCTTTAGTGGCATACTATAAATAAATTTATAAATCTGATTCAGATTGAAATTTTCTAGAAGAAAATAGTCTAGCTTGGTGCCTGGGATTTTTCTCTGTCTTCTGTACCATGCTCTTCTACAGCCCTTTCTGATCTAATGAATATCTGCTCTGTGTACCAGTTTTTGCAAGTTAAACACTTCTTATGCTCCTTAGGGTTCGATAATGGTTAAGGAATAACAACAATATAAATAGGACTTACGTTCATAAGATTCATAAAAAGTGATAACATCATTGGAAAAGTACCTTTTTGATTAACAATAAATTTTGATCTTATTCAACAGTGAATAGCTTTTTTTTTTTTGATAGGAATAAAAGGCCTCAATAAACCCCCTTGGTGGTTAACGGAACTTAAAAATAGTTCCTTAATCCACACAAGGAGGAAAGGAGTGCCCTAGGATTCAATAAACTCAAATATAACAAAGTAATACAAACCATCTCCCTCAAGAGATATAAAACCAAAAAGAAACAGCCCTTAACAGAGCATAATTCAACCAATACCCGCCTTAGCTAGGACATCCGCCTCTATATTGGCTGTCCTACTAACCCAACTAATAAAACCTTCAAAAACACTAAGCTTTTGAAGATATCCTTTTTTTTCTTTTCATTTTTTATGCTTTTAATTACTCCCTAAGTCCTGTTTTTGTCTCATGTTGACTTTTAACGTTGTTTTAGGAAGAAAAAGTTTTTGTAGGGGATGTGATGTAAAATAATTCAAATGACAATTTTCCTTGAAAAATTAAATTTTGTTTTTCAGGGGAAACTAAGAAAAAGAGTAGAAAAGGAAATATGACTTTTAATAGTTGAACTTTTCAAAGTCACAATTTGAATGGGACAATTTAAAAACACAAAAGTGACAAATTTATTGGGACAAAGAAAGTAATAATTTTTGTTGAGTACCAACTATGCAATAAACAGTTGGTTAAAACTCATTTGGATGGGTTGACAAGGTTGAGGATGAACAAAATATCGAGAAGATCCCTTCTACACTTGGGGGTGGATCAGATGTCAATGAGAAAACAGCTCCTAAGGATATTGAAAGCTCCAAAGAGGAAGACAAACCAAGTTCTTCTAATGTCAATGCATCAGATCTTCCTCCACACATTGTTATTGGAATGCCAGCACTCTCTCCTACAATGGTAAGAAATTTTAGTTTAAAACATGAACCTACTCTTCTGACATTTTTTACTGAAAAACTTATGTTTGCCCTTTCATATTTCATAACAGAATCAGGGTAACATTTTCAAGTGGACAAAAAAAGAAGGGGACAAGGTTGGTTTTATAAGCACACATTATTAAGATCACTTTAAAATGCTATCTCTTTCTGCTTGAGTGAATCATAACCTTGTTCACATTAATATCTAACTCTGAGCAGATTGAAGTGGGGGACATCATATGTGAGATTGAGACCGACAAAGCAACCCTCGAATTTGAGAGCCTTGAAGAGGGGTAATATTCTTTATTTGCTTTTGAGTTTATTTCTGGTAGCAAGTCTGATGCGAAAGAACGAAATTGATGCCTATAGATAGTGTAGATGCCACACTAGCTTTATTTCTATAGCTGATCATTTGTTATTTTATCCATCCAAAAAGATGAGAAATAGTGAAGTATCAAGCTTAAATCATCCAAACTGGCGCTTATGGAATACTCAATATGACTTAAGATGAATATGACTATGCTCATATACCCCAAAAATCAGGGGGCATAAACATCACTGTGAGGCATAAGCATGAGTTTGCCATAGAACACATATGTAGATGTCATATCTGGTAGTAAGACTAGCAGGGTAAAAATACTTATAAGATGCCAATTTGAGAACACACCATTTTGGAAAAACTGAACTATATAAGTCAAATTCTATGACTTGACCACAAAAGCAGGTTGAGCACAGTTCAATTAAGAAGCAAGGGTGTTTTCTATGGGTTAATAGAAAAGGAAAGGCTTTCTTAGATGTGAGATCGACATGGTTTTCATTTCTGTGAGTAATTTATGTTAATTATAAACTTACAATTGTGAGTTGAAATTGTGGGATGTAGCTATCTAGCAAAGATACTGGCTCCTGAAGGTTCAAAGGACGTGGCTGTGGGACAACCTATTGCAATAACAGTAAGTTGTCATTATGTGCTTTTAAGTTGATTTCATATTGTTGTAAATTGACCTCTTTATGTTTGGTCACTGAATTTTTCGAAGTCAAGTTAATGGTAATGACATCAAGCATATGAGGACTAATGCTTGTTACTTTGCAAGGTTGAAGATCCAAATGATATCGAAGCTGTGAAGAGTTCCGTTGCGGGTGATTCAGCTGTCAAAAAGCAAGAACCAAAGCATCAAGAATCCAAAAGTGAAGTTAAAGAGCAGAAGTCTGGTTTTACAAAGATCAGTCCATCAGCCAAGTTGCTTATTTCGGAATATGGATTAGATGCTAAATCACTTAAGGCATCAGGTCCTCATGGTACTTTGCTTAAAGGGGATGTTTTGGATGCAATTAAGTCTGGAAAAGGATCGTCCAAAATTTCACCATCTGAAAAAAAACCATCACCTCAAACCAGCACTCAGAAATCTCCTTCAGGGAGTCCCGAGTCAAAGACTCATCCACTGCAGTCAGTTTCTTTTGAAGACTTTCCCAATACTCAAATTCGCAAGGTATGTTTCATTGACCAATTATATGGGAACTAAAATGCAAGAGACTTTGGCATTGGACTAACTAACTAGGTCAATATTAAAGATAAAAGTCAACCTATTCATAAACTTAAGGGTAGCTTGATGTAGGAGATTGGGAAAAAATACGCGTAATGAATTCAACATAAGAAAGTTAATATGTATGTGTTAATAACTGATGTTAAAGGCAGATGGTAGTGTTGAATGGTTTGGAATTAAAATGATGCAAGGTACTTTGCCAAATTGGGAATTTTACATGAATTCGTTTGATGGAAGTTAAGGGGAGCTACAGTCAAAGGACTTGGTTTATTGCTTAATAGCTCAGTTGCATTGGAAAGTAAACTATTTTAATCTGAGTTCACCAAAAAGACGGCCTTTATGGTTATTCCACAGTAGATTTACAGAGTATTGATTGAATAGAATAATGAGATCTGACTGAGATGGTTTTCTTATTTTATTTAATTTTATTCTTTTTCTGCTCTACTTGGAAATGAAATAAGGAATCTATAGAATGTGAACCTCGGTATGTTTTGAAATGTCTATGTGAACAAATCAAGATATTTAAGGTATAGAGGGGAGCATGCTGTTTTTTGCTGTGTTCCATTTTCAGGCATGCCTTCCAGATTTTGTTTGAGTCGAATGCATATGGAATGGCCATATAATTAGCAGTGTTCTCAAAATTTAACTGCATTAGAAGTATTTGAAAACGCTAATCTTCCTTTAAGTTCATGCATGTAAATGTCTGATGGCTTTCTATAAATATTTTAATTAATTTTTTAGATAATAAAATACCTTAACTCAAGGAAAGTCTTATTGTTGATTCTTTGTTGTGAAATCTAAGTAGTTCGAAGAAAAAATGCATCTGTTACAGCTATAAGTTCCGTTGAGTGTTGACAACTTTTTCATTTGTTATACTGTCAAATGTTGCTATTAGGACATATTCCAATTGATCTATTTGTTTGGTATTCTTGGATTTCTTCTTTCACACATTTTTATATACTATATATTCAAATGTTGTTCTGATTGTTCTTGATAAGTATGTTGTTTTATATGGTTTAATGAGTTAATGGAGAACTTTGATTCTTTCTTTTTACTGCATTTGTGTTCATTCTGCAGGTTATTGCAAGGAGGTTATTGGAATCTAAACAGACTACACCGCATTTGTATTTATCTTCAGGTAGGAACATAAAATATTTATCTTTTTTATATGTTTAATGAGTTAATGGAGAACTTTGATTCTTTCTTTTTACTGCATTTGTGTTCATTCTGCAGGTTATTGCAAGGAGGTTATTGGAATCTAAACAGACTACACCGCATTTGTATTTATCTTCAGGTAGGAACATAAAATATTTATCTACAAGTTTTAGTATCATTTAATTTTCAAACTTAACAGTTTTATTGTGTTCATCAGATGTTGTACTGGACCCTCTTCTTTCTTTTAGGAAGGAGCTTAAAGGTATTGAATTAATCCCTGTATCATCAGTTTGATTTTTCTTGTTGGTAGCTTGCTTTACTACTGATCGTTCTATGCTTTCTTAATTTGCAGAGAAGCATGATATTAAAGTTTCAGTCAATGACATTGTCATAAAAGCGATTGCAGTTGCTCTGAAAAATGTACCTGAAGCTAATGGTAAGACTAAATTTCATTAAAGTTGGTCCTCGTAGATTTCTTAGTAAACATGGGTAGCCAAGGCAAGGCAACCAATAAGAGCATGACCTATTGTTAGATGTAAATATTCCTAGAGATGTTGGGTGCTATTTCTCTCTTAGGCTAGATTCCAATCTGTTTTACAGATGTAGACATTGGAAGGGACACATTTTTAAACTGTTGCATGTCCAAAAATGTATTTTCCAGTGCTTTTGAATAAGAAAATATTTTGTTTGTATTCTTTTCTATCTTTATGCATATTTTATTGTTGATTTGTTGTCTGAATTATTAGTTGGGGTGTAATCCTCTCTCATTCTGTTCCCAGCGCTGCTTGTTTTTCACACCCACACCAGAACTTAAACATTCCTTAATGAAGGAATTGCCCTTAGACTGTGTGGTCATTTTGTTTCTTACCCATCAGTAAGTATTTATACAGATAGTCGTAGTTGCTGGTCTATAAATGGTTTTCAGCTTAGTTTGAAAAGCATAGTCTGGAAACTGTTTTATTGTTGTATAAAATATTTCTTCACTTCAATATAAATCTGAAGTTAAATTATTACATCAAACTAGATGGGTGTATGATGAACCTTCTCTAATATCCAGATGAGGAAAATTTTGTTTTTGTGTCAATAATATGTGGTTGCACACTGGAAGTTTACTTGGAGTACTAATTTGTTTGAAGAAGTTTCACACTGGAAGGGCACTAAGGGATTAATTGATCAAACAAGTGTGTTTAGTGTCCGCACTAATTATAAGAAATTCCTGCATCAGATTACCAATAATAAGTGCCTTTTTTAGTGGGAAATACGTATATAATTCGTTTTTCTTCAGTGACTATTTAGCTTTCAACAAAAATTATAGCCTTTTTGGCTTATTTCTAACTGAAAATGTTGCTATGTCAATGACTGCAGCTTATTGGGATGTTGAGAAAGGGGAAATAATTTTATGTGATTCTGTTGACATATCAATTGCAGTTGCTACTGAGAAGGTACACATCCTATAACATACTGGTCTCAGGTTTTATGGACCAACCGACTTATTAAATTATTTGCGTTACAGGGTTTAATGACCCCAATTGTAAGGAATGCCGATCAGAAATCCGTTTCATTGATCTCCTCAGAGGTACTTTCATCTTCAACCTCTACCCGCTTTTAGTTTAACAGCATTGTTTTCTCTTTCTTGAGCTTGTTTAGATCTAGGTACACAACACAGATTGAGATGTGCTTGTGTCAGTTTGTCCTTTAAACATGTTGACTAATCAAAAACTCCATATAGATGTAGCTTAAGTTAAACTAGATGTTTAAAACAATCTGCAATGTACTAGATGATAGCCGACAAGGTCAGGATTATATGCTAATTTTCATTCTTTTGATCTTTTTTTTTCCAGTTAATAATTTAGTAATCATCGATTTTCATTCTGGTTTTGGTTTTATCATGCTCATCTCTTTAACTTGGCCATCAGGTAAAGCAACTAGCTGAAAAGGCACGGGCTGGGAAGCTTTTACCAAACGAATTTCAAGGAGGAACATTCAGGTATGAACTTAATATATATGTATGGGATATTAGTTTTCTATTCTACTTTTTTAATATTGAAATAAATTGAGAAATTGTAATTTCTGCAGTTTCAAATCTGGGAATGTTTCCCGTGGACCACTTTTGTGCAATTATAAATCCCCCACAGGTACTCTCTCTCTCACACACAGACACGTTTGCATGCACATATTTGTACATATAAGCTGAGAATGTGCTACATGCTTGCTCATACATGCACCCACCGAGATCATTTATCACAACATCATTTGTCTTCATTGAGAAAACATTAATATAGCTTCAGCCTTATCCCATCCATGAATAATGTTACATTCAGTCCTCAAAAGGAAAATGTAGCTCTGGTCTAATGACATTTTCTTCTACAAAAAGCAATAAATTTGAAAAAGCATACTTCTATTCCATTTGTTGATAATATTCACTTTGAATACAGTGAACTACTCCTAATGTCGTTTTTCTTAAGGGACTTTATCCTAGAGGCAACATTTAGATTATCTAACCACTCTAAAAAATATTGCTATAAAGAGATCTGACATTGCAAGGTGCTATAAATCTTTGTGCGTTATATTGGCAGGCTGGTATCCTTGCCGTCGGTAGAGGAAACAAATTTGTTGAACCAGTGGCTGGAAGTGATGGTAAGTTACCCTTGTCCAGTATGCTTCTTTATATGTTATGCTTCAAAATGTTTTGCATATCATTTATTGAATTCCTGTGCAGGAATTGAGAGGCCTGCAATTGTCACAAAAATGAACTTGACATTATCTGCTGATCATCGTGTTTTTGACGGCAAAGTTGGAGGTATAAATCACTGCTCTAAATACAAATATTCTGAAAGACGATGCAAACCCCATATCTAAAATACCTCAGTATGATACCTGCCTGAGATTTCTGCAATGTTTGTTGCAGGTGCATTTATTTCAGCATTGAAAGCAAACTTCAAAGATATTGGGAGGCTGCTGCTGTGATAACATTGTGTTGAAATCCCAGGAGATTCAGCTATAGTGGAGAGGTCTCTTTCTTCAAGCTTGTTAATAATTCTTCAAACGGATCATTGTTATTTGTCCCAGAAATTTCCATTGCCGTCCTGGTTACCGAAATGGTTACCAACATTCTTTTCAAATCATTCGACTTCTTCACGAGAACCAAATCGTTATTGATCTAAAATTTTGCTTGAAATTTTCATCATATTTTTATGTCTTCTTCAAGGCTGCTCCTGCAATTTCATGTTTCCATCTGAGAAATAAAGATGATGAATGATGGGGAAATGCAAATACTGAAATTTCCATTGACATTTCTTATGTGTACAATTCCTTTTTTCGTGGCTTTAATCGATATTCTGCCGGGTGAATTGATCTATACAAATATAATGAAAACTGCTTACAGAATTTGTATGTCTACAGGTTAGAATCGCAAATATAATTTTAAATATTTTAATATATAATAAAATTTTTTTTTTATGTCATGTCATCAATTGTGTATATATATGAATGTCACGTTAATATTTTAATTCATCTGTATCCATCTAATATGTAAAACCAAATTAATTGTTAATGTATTAAAAAACTAATTATTAACAAATTAATAGATTTCATTCAAATAAAGATTTTTTTTTCAAATAAAACGCTCTTATTAATAATAAAATGTAGATGGAATAGTTAATTAGTAAAATAGAGTATCCTCAAATTTAATTTGGGATTTAATTTACTTGTTATAGTATATGTGAAACTCGTCAAGTGGATGACGAGTCTTATAAAATATAGTAAAAAAAGTAAAACTCATCATATAAAATATATCAAAATTATATGAAACTTGTCACCTCCGCATAATAAGTTCTAAACTCGTCACCTTCATGTGACGAATTTCATGTACATGTAACAAATTATCTAAATCCTAAAATAATTCTCAATCATCTCATTATTCAAAAAAAAAAATCCTCGTATGTATTATTTCCTTAATTTTACCTATTATTAAACCAATCTATGCTTTTACGGTCACATTTTTCTACCCAGCCAATACTACCCGTTTGACTAAGTGGGCGGCAAGAAAAAACAGGAAAAAAAATAAAGAAATGAGTGGGTATCCAGTTCCCGGAGCCGAGGCGGTTCACCATAGACTATACGAGTTCGCTAAAACCGCCCTCATCAAAATATTTGTCCACCCATATGCCACCGTCTGCGACTTGTATTGCTGTGGTGGAGCTGACGCAGAGAAATGGGATGGACCTCAAATCGGCCATTATGTTGGAATTGGTATGGAATTTTCACAAACACCCTCTCCTCATTCCTTTCTTTATTTATCTTAAGTAAATTTCACTATGCAGGAAACGAAAGTGCCCAATCATGCATAATCGAGTTAGGGTTCTTATGGTTTGGTTGGTAGTTTTGCTATGTTGTTTTTGCTTTTTCTAATGTAAAGTGGAAATGCTAACTGTTGAATATATAGGTTCAATGTTCATAGTTCTCGACTTATTGTTAAGTTTACGTGTGTATTGATAGATGATGGTGATTGTTGAAATGGGTTTGAAGTGCTTATTTTGATGATGAATGATTTTCTTGTCCCGGAGTTAGTCTTCAGTAATCTTGCACTGGAGAATGAAACCACGAGTTAAGTTCATGATAGGTTGGTTGTGATTTGTGGTGATTGACAGTAAATGTTAAAAATGAATGTTAATTGCAGATGTTGTGTCACCTGGGATAAATGAAGTGAGGGAAGCATGGGAGAGTCAGCGAAAAAGCTTCACTTCTGAGTTCTTTGAGGCTGATCCTTGCATTGTGAGCTTCTTTTATTACACCCCATTTGGTGAATATGTTCATTTCTTTCCATGTGTGTATGAATATGTATATGTGGAGCAATTTTCCCCTCGTAGAAACTAGATGAAATTTCTTTGATTCTCATTTAGTTCTGATTAAAAATGTTCTTGTCAATGTTACACTTATTCTTTTCTTTACCTTGAGTGTGTGTTTCTGCAATCTTAGTACAAATTTTCCTTAGGAAGCATTATTCCTCATCCTTCTAGCACAATTCTATGCATTTTGTTGATGAAGACGGAAATGTTATTTTTGTGGTGGTTTATAGTAGAAGACTTGACCCATTTGTTACTTTGTTGCAAAAGCTGAAAACCATTTTGATCTATGCTTTTGATCTTTGAATGAAGCTGCCTTCTCTTATTCAATTGTAACTAATATTCTGGTGAAAGTTGCAGTTTAGCCTTTAACTTTAAAAAGGTTGAATCTATTCAATGTTTTTCTCTTCTCCTGCCATTGACTGCATATTCCTTTGACAGGATAATTTGGAAACCCTGTTGCAAGATAAGGACATTCTGGCTGATCTTGTCTGTTGCTTGCAGCATTTGCAGGTACGTTGTATGTAGTTCAATATGTTATATGTGAACATTGGGTTTTGATTTGTCATGAGAACAAATGTGATGAATCTGAAGCGCATTTCTATTCTTCTACTTGCAGTTGGGATTTGAAACTGAAGAGAAGGCAAGGAGACTTCTAAGTAATGTGTCATTTTTGTTGAAACCAGGGGGTTATTTTTTTGGTATCACTCCTGACTCATCTACCATATGGTATGAAATAGTGATTGGAAAATACCTATGTTTCTGGATTTTAATTATCTTTTTCTTTTGATTCATGCTGCACCTGTTTCTGGAATTTGATGATTGCTTAAATGTTTTAGTCTGCTTTAGTTTCTTCTTGCTATTATCTAGTTGATTACTTGATACATATCCCGATCAACAAACATAATCATGTGCAGACCATAAATTCAACTTCTAGGAGAGAGGGTCCCAATTTTCAACAATTGGTTGATGTTAAAACACTTAATGTTCAGAGAAAGATGAGTTGTACTCCGCATGTAGGTTATGAATCTACAAGATCATTGTTGGGATCTATATGCATTTTTACCAGCTTAATATAAGAGCAAGAATGTGAATGTAAATAATAATCTATGTAGGTCTCCTATATGCTGATGTGATTTTGATTGCATTCTGAAATTTCTAGCTTCCAGTAATTGTGTAACATTCAGATTCATCCAGAACTAAGCTTCACACTTCAGATGTATTTATGGAGGAGTTCTGGTTTCCATTTTGGCCATTTAAGTTAGAGAGCCGCAGCAAAACTGTTTCATATAGATTATTATGTCTTTTATTTTTACCAAGGTTGGTCAATATCCTACTTGATGATGGCTCTAACTTTTTTGGGTGATTTTTTTTATTTCTTTCTGTTATACTCAGTTTTATAAGTTACACTCGTATCTTTGGGTGCGTGAGCGACCTTGTGTTCATTTCCATATTTTCGACATGAGATATTGCCTTCATGGAGTTGCCATATGGAGAAAAGCATAAAATATTTGTTATTATGGATGTACAGGGCAAAGTACCAGAAAAATGTTGAAGCGTACCACAACAGAAGTAGCAGTATGAAGCCCAACATCGTTCCCAATTGCATTCGGTCTGAGAGTTACACGATCACCTTTGAAATTGAGGAAGAAAAGTATGTATGAATTTTAGATGTTTCTAAGCTTTTTTAATTATCATATTTGGGTTTGCTCTTCAGAAAATAAAAATGATCATATTTGGGTTATTTATTGAAAACATTTTTGCATCATTCTATTGAATCCAGGTTTCCATTGTTTGGAAAGAAATACCAGTTGAAATTTTCGAGTGATGTCTCTGCTGAGACCCATTGCTTGGTTCATTTTCCAAGCTTAATCAGGTTGATTGTCCTCTACTGATTGTACCTTAAACTTAACCATACTACGTCCTGGTATTCTGTTTTTAGTGTTTGGTTCTGGAAGCTTGCTTGGCAAGGTTAACTTTGATTTTCCTTTTTTAGTGTTTTTAGTGTTTGATTTTCCTTTTCAGATTAACTTTTAACATCTTTTGTTCAATCATATAAATATGTTATCCCTTGTATTTTGACATTTATGTAATCCAGCAATCGACGTCTAATCTGCTGTGCAACTCAGGTTGGCCAGAGAAGCTGGTCTTGAATATGTGGAGATTCAGAACTTAACCGAATTTTACGATGATAACAAGTAGGTGAAACCTTTATTCAATTTTTCCACTATTGAGTTCAATAAATGCTTTGTTGTTCTTGTTCTTAACTATTAATTCCGATTCATTCTCAGATCATTGCTTTCAGGCATGATGCTGAATGCTGGTCCAAATCTTCTGGATCCACGGGGGAGACTTCTTCCTCGATCTTACGATGTTTTAGGTGAATGCTTTCTTACCTGTCTTGTTGGTTCATCATTTCTTGTTCAGGATCTCATTCTTTTGCTGCTGGTTTCCTTTTGCAGGTCTCTATACAACATTTATATTTCAAAAACCTGACCCAGATCTTGTCCCCCCACTTGCAACCCCGTTATTGCCCGAAAGTAGTTACGACCATGATGAGGCAAGTATTTACGACAATAATCTAATAGATCCATAAGCATCTTTCCCCCCGAAGGCCTTTAGTATTCTCATTCAAACTCCATCTAAGATATGCCATTGACCTTAGTTGGATTGGATAATTTCTACATATCTTCAAGGAGGGAAGGATTATACTCTCTTAAACATGGTTGTCAATAAGACCATTAGGCAGTACGGACTATGGCAAATCGGCAATGCCTTTTTGTTCGATAGCTCTAAGCTTCATCTCATAAGATTTATGTTGGTCCGACTCTTTCATTTTCCTAAAGGTATCTGTGTCCGCCACAGACCTCCGAATATACGAGACATTTAGATTCAATACTCACTCCTAGTCCTAGTCCATATAGTATGAGATTCATGGACATACTTGGTTGTATATTTACTGTACTCGGTTATATTGTTCCAGAGCCAGTGGGAAGGGGTTGGATGGGTAGAAGATGAGAAGAATGGACAAGCGGAGCAGCCGCCTCCACCACTACCGTCAATTCCAGCTCCGGCTCCACCACCTCCACCTCCACCTCATGGACTAGGGAAGATAAGTGAGCAGAAGGGGATTCTGGGTCCTGGCCCGGCAGAATTGCGTTTCTCTGAAGCACTCTGACTTGGTAAGTAGTAAAGAAAAAGGTAGGAACTAAGTAGGGGCATTGACTTGTAATGGAAAGTATGAAATAATTACTGTTTACTGCATGCATAGGTTCACTTGAATGAAGTTGTCAACTAGGCCTTGTGCTTCTAGTTTTCTCCACTGCAACTTTTATGTAGGGCCATTATGTTTTTTCAACTTTCCACCATTCAATTTTATATTTTGAATATACCTACGTCCTATGTTGCAACAATATTAGTGTCAATGTCCATCAAACCCGTCGTATATTGGTAAAAGATATCGTTTTAGTTCTAGTTGATATTGGATTAGTCTCCTATGACCCTTCTCCTTTCCCTTATAAAAAACAATAATAGTTCCAATTAGGTATTCATAGTTGGAAATCCAAATCCCTTACAAAATAAAGGTTTAGTATACAAATAAATGTTGAAACTATATTTATTTTTTAATTTAGGCGTGTAAAGGAACCCATTAAGTTGTCTCGGTTGTTCCTCCTAGAGGTCTAAGATTCAAGCAATTGCGTCTGTAGGTGTGTGTTGTCAATGATTAAAAAATTCTGAATAAATATTATCTAAAATAAAAATTAAATATTCAAAGTGTTTTTTATCATTTTAAGGATGAACTATTAACGTTTATAAAAAAATGATCTAATCAATGCATGATACTAATTTTTATTTAAAAAATATTAGGATCTTTAATTTTTTTAAATACCAAAATTCAAAAAATAAAATAAAATAAAGAACAGTGACCTAAATCTAAACGTACAAATCGAAGCTCTATCAAAGCAATTATTCAGACGACCCAAATTTCTATTTGAATATCTCAAATGCAATCATTCGGACGAAATTAGACGACAACAACTTGATTAGGTTTGAATTAAAAGGGGAAATAGAATACCCAAATTTTAAATGAAACAGAACTAGAAGGGGGGCTTGAACCTCAACCTTGTGGTCAAGAATTCCACGCAAGCTCTATTTATTTTAATAAAATTATAATTCAGTGAAAGTGATACCAATCTTAGGTAAGTACATCTTTTAATTATATATCTTAATTTACAATAAATAATAACTTTACGGGCACTTTTATATTCAATTTCAGTAAACGTTAAACTTTTAATTAAAAATTCATAGGACTAAAATAATATACATTATGATAGTTCGAATATATATTTAGAGATGGTCACGGGTCGGATTGGGTTAGGTTGAATTTTTGCCCAGTCTGATTCCGACCCGAGTAGTATACCCCTTCACTCAACTCAATACAAGTTTAGAAAACTTTTACTTGTCTCGAACTCGACCAGAAATAAATAAAAAAACATTTTTTATATTTATTCAATAAAAATATTGGAGAAAATTGAAGAAAGAAATAGAGAAGAATATTATACTAATTATCTTTATATATATAAATGAGGTTATAGTAATACCTCGGGGTCGGGTTAAAGAATTTTCACCTTAAACCTAACCGAATTCAAACCCAAATTTTAAAAATGAAATCTGATCTTATAAAGTCGGGTTGGAAACCATTAAATTTGACTAATCTGATTATCGCTAATCATATTAGATACTTTATCAAATACAAACACCCTATTAAATATTTTAAAAGTAAAACTACCACACTAAATATTTTTTGCCATAGATATGTAAAAAACCTATTTTGGTGTTGTAAAAACTATGAGATACATTCATTAGAATAACTTGAAACACTCAGCCTTTAGCAGAAACATTAATAAACATGTTATTTTCCAAGTATAAACAAGGTGGACTTGAAGGCGAATGAGAAAAGAGAAAGAAAGAATGAAAAGCAAGTGTTGACATTGATGCAGTTAATGAGCAAACATGTATGAAAAAGCAGTACATAATAGTAGCATTACTAACTTGGAAAGGGAGCAGTATAAGAATAATAAAGGTGTTGCAGTTAGCATTAACGGCAATTGCCTTTCCTATAATCAGCCTGAAAGCAAAACCCCATCCTCCCTTGTCCCCGTTGATGTATCGTCTAGATTTCCACCATCTTTATACTTGCTACAACCCGAAGTTGGGCCTTCATCGGCAGGTTTTGGTTGAACTTGATCTCCAACCCCACCCTCCAGCAGGCAGCACTACTTTAACTTCATTGTTATTTTCATTCCCACCTGCTTCGTTAGTGGAACCATTGCCTCTTTGTTCCACCCAGCAGATTGATTCCAATCGGAGGATTGGCCTCCCTCATCAGGAGAAACAATAACATTTAAGTAATTGACGCCGTTTGCAAAAACAAAAAAAAAGTAAAATGGCCATGCAGGTTTCGAACCTGCGACCTTCGCGTTATTAGCACGACGCTCTAACCAACTGAGCTAATAGGCCACTGATTGTTGTCAGACAAATATATTTATATTATTATTAAATTAGATGTTGCAAAACATATCTGCGCTAGGAGAGCTTGAACCTCCGACCTTGTGTTACCATTTATTAAAATTATTTTATAAATGTGGAAAAGGAATCTTTGGACCAAGTGATTTAATATTATAGAATTAAATTTGTATAAAAATAAATAAATTTTAAAATAAGAATAATTTAATAAAATATGCTTCTAAATAATCATATACTCTCTTTGTTGAATATCATAATCTTATATTTCAGTTAAATTAATCAAATAAAGCAACATAATATTCTTTTAATGTGAGCACATTACATAGTTGTATTCTTATATTTGGTCTTTTATCCTTGAACCAAATACATCCGAGAGATGTGGCTACACCATCTTAAAATAACTACATTGCACTCTTAACAAGAGAATTCATGTTCAAACCTTGAAAATAGTTTATTAAGCGGAAATACTACGAATCTGATAAACAAAAGGTTTGAAATTCCAATCAAGATTAAATATAGAAGATAAAAAGTCATAAAATAATTGCATGTAAAAAGAATTACAAAAATTTAATTTCAGAATCATATACTTGTGAATCAAATAATCAAATCCATACATATTTTCATTAGTCGGTTATTATATTTAATATGAATTTAATATATTTTCATTAAATAAGATATTTTGGTAATCGAATTAGATCGAACATTAGTATTTATATTTTTAGGCTTCAATAGTTGAAAGATCTATGTAGTAATGACACTTAGTGTAAATTATTCCAGGACACTCGATTATTAGGCCAATAGTTGAAAGTCAACAATTTCTAGAGCAAGTGATAGTTCTGAAGAATCCCTCTAATTAATTTGTGGGGATCTCTCTTCCTCAATTATTTGCCCTTTGACGGTTTTGAGTTTGTAGGAGCATGTGGGAAGTCACCTTTATTTTTACCTTTTATTGTTTATTTTCTAGTGTTTGTGTGACTTCCTCTGTTTAGGTTTAATGACGACGACGATGGTGGTTGATATGATTTACTACTCCATCGCTAGTCAAACAATGGGTGGTAGTGGTCCAACAATCTTTGTCTAGAAAATTTACTAGCACATACCATCACCGACGATGATTGCACGCCTTGAAAAGTCCTTCTTACGACACTTACACAGACCTCACAACACTAATGTAAGCAACACACCCAAAAGTAAATGATACCAAGAGGATTTTGATGAAATACGATTGGTAACAACCCAGCGACAAACTCCATCGTGAAGCAGTCATGTTGTTCATTAATTACTTGAAGGTCGCATCGAGACAATCGTGAACATCATGATAAATTGATTCCACGACATGTCCAAGAATAATACAAGAAAGACCGTCGGTCATATTCTTCCGAAGAAGTAGAGCCTATGTAAAATTCCTGTGCGTGTTTTTGTTACAGCATCCATGCTAAAAATAAAATGGAGGAGAATGAGGATGAAAGTTACTATCAGTCCTTTATTATTATAGAACAACGTTCCTCTAGCAGCAGCCATTGGAACTTTCTCTAACTTCATTGCTGCCGGCTCCACCTCCACTATTCCAGCCCACCCGCAGGATTGGCTTCCCTGGTCAGGAGAAACAAGCATTACAAATAAAAAGAGAGATTTGGAAAAAGTATCAAACAGTTAAAATTGGCCCATGCAGATTTCGAACTTGACAACTTCTCCTTATTAGCACGACGCTCTAACCAACTGAGATAATGGGCCATTGGCTGTCAATTGACAAATTTATTTATATAGTTAGGGTAACAGATTGAAATTAAAAGTTAAAATGTAAACCAACGCTAGAAGGAGGGCTTGAACCTCCGACCTTGTGGTTAACAGCCACACGCTCTAACCAACTGAGCTATTCCAGCTTTTTAGCTTCTTTTTCCAAACTATCTTTATCTGTTCGTTTATTAAAATTATTTAATACTTACGTGGAAGTAAGGAGTTCTTGGAGCGAGTGATTCCATTATGATAATTCAGAATTATAAATATTAAATAATTAAATTTGTTAAAAATAAAGATAATTTAATAATAAATATCTTTAAATAATCATATATTCTCTTTACTTGAACATTATAATTTTGCATTCTAATTATTCTCTGTAATATAAATACATTGCAAAATCGTATTCTTAGAATTAATCAAATGTCCATGAATCCAGCACATTCTAAGAATATAGCTACATGTATCTAAAGTAATTTCATTGCATTCTTAATAAGAGAATTTATGTTCAAAATGTTCATTTTAGAGTGAGGATTTATACTTATTTCATTCGAATTTTTTCTACTAATATAAATGTAAAATATATTTATGAATCCGTCGTTGCTATAAGTTATATATGTATATATGTATGTTTTGTGGACTGTGGTATTTGCAAGCCTTACGTTATGCTGTTGTTTCTCTGTTGTACGACTTCCTTTCTGGCTTTTTAATGAGAAGATTATATATGTGTTTCTTCAGACTGCAACCTCTGCATATTTCTTCTAATCCGTTCCTCTGAGAAACTGCAAAACTTCCCCAAAGTATACACATCAAGCGTAGATAACTTGACAGTATATTTATAAAGCTACGGTTTATTTCATCATGGCTAACTTGTATACGAGGCCGCGAAGCCATGCATAAGGTTTTATGTTGTACATTCTTATTGTTAGGGTTTAATTCTAATCTTCAAGGTCAATGATCTTTACCACTGATGCATCACCAAGCTTCTGGCACACGACGACGCCTTTCCATGATCTAAATCAACATATTGGGCTATTAGGCACTTGTTTGAACAAAAATATCAAGCAAGAAGCCACATGAATATGGTTGACCAAAGTGTGAGGGAGATTGAAGCCACTGCATATGTCCATAGCATAATCACTGAACTTTCACCCTGTCCCAGCTGCAAAAACTCCGATATCGTACCTGTAGTAGGAACAAACGTATGATTTTATGTTAAGGTAACGAATTTATAAAATTTTATAGGGGACGAAAATAGATTATCAATCTTTGATACATCATATGCAGTACAAGCTGTTCCATCGTTACCTACGGCAGTTGCGGGTGGAACCGTATACTGAAGCATCAAAACGAACCGATATAACGAATCCGTCGTAACCATTCCCAAATGGTGTGCTGCATTCACAACACATATCCCCAACAGAGGCATCGCTATGTTCCTCACTACTATAATCCCTATAACCACAATATGGCTAACTTCTGATCCATTCAAACCTCTAAGAAGGTTTGCCCCTAGTATCAATGTCAAACATGGAATTGCTGCCTCCCTGCATTTTACAAAACAGATTAGACTACTCATATTTCATGGAAAGGATAATACCAAAAAAATGTCTCTAACGTTTGATGAAATAATCATTTTGATCTCTATTCCATTTTAGAAGTATTTTTGTTTTCAATGTTTCATATCCGGACAAAAATATTTTAACGTTTGACTAAATAGTCACTTTAATCATTTTTTTAGCATTTTGGCCAGAACGTTTAATTTCAAGAAAAAAATACCTTTATTTTAGAGCGTTGACTATTTGTTCAGTTTTGGCTAAAAAAAGACTATTTGTTCAGTAACGATTTCATTTCATGGAGAAGTCTTTTTACCTCAAAATAAATCGTTAGGAGTCAAAATATTCTAAAAATAAAATAAAGGCTAAAATAACTATTTAATCATAGATAGGAACAATTTTTTTACATTATGCATTTACGAAAACGAAATCACTTCATCATAAGCTACACAAGATACGGAAACTAAATCACTTCATCATAAGCTAAATGCTTACAATGAATTGCTTCGTACCCCAACAAATATGCAGAAGTACCGATTACACGAAGAGGAGCACTATCACCGATCATTAGCCTCCGGAATGGAGGGACGATCCCAACGATAAACCCGACAATCTGAAGGGATAAAGACACATGTTTGGTATAAAATGGAAATACAAAAGTAGTATGCAGTTAATGTTAAGTATATTGGAATACCGCTGCAGTCGCCGTAGGTGCAAACACCTTCTTCAGGTCGATCTTTCCCATAATCATCTTAATATGCAGAATTATCTTCTCAAAAACAAGAACTTAATCATATTAGTGAACGGTTTACAATCAACATCTGTAACAAAGATAAGAAAATGGAGATGAAAATTAAAGTGGGATAAACCTTTTTCCCTGCCCCATAGGTGGTTAGAGGCAGTCCATCTTGAGTAGAATAATATTCGCAACTTGTTGAAGGTAGTAAAGCTTCTTTACAAGTCTCTGAAACAGTGTTAGAGGTGCCTTCACTTGCATACATGCGCATGATGCTGTACACGTACGACCACATGAAAACGGCTCCTATCTGTAAAATCAGACTTAACAACTAGAACATTGAAGCTAATGGTATATGTTGAACCATATGATTTAGAATCTGTAAGTTGTTGATGCTTGGGATGCAGTGATCAAAGATTATTATGAAATTTTTTTACTTGCAGACAATTCAACTATGATGCAAATAAAGAATCATAGAGAGAAAAATACAAAGTTAAAGCTATAGCGTATCTATTTTTTACAGTTTCATCGTCAATTTTTACTAGAAGCATGCATTTTGAAACTACTATAAACTTTTGAGAGCATCTTAAAGAAAAGTACGAAATGAATGAAAGAATCAAGAACATGAGAGTAATAAATTTAATTCGTGAATTTGAAACGGAGAGAACGAAAGATTTCTGAACTAATAAAAGAATGGTTTTAGTACACAAATGATCCCCTGACTATAGGACTTTATTTTATTGAGTCATCGACTATTAAAAGTTATAAAATCGTTTCTCGACTATATGACGTTGCTTTGTTAAGTCCACCGACTATTAAAAGTTACAAAATGGTCACCTGACTATCATATTTTCCAAACTCGTCATTTTCTGTTAAAAATTGATGACCGTCTGAGCTGGACATTAACATGTTGATTCGTATATGACAAAATTATATTTCAATGGTGTCTACTGGCATCGCTGTTGCTTTCAAACACTGACTCGATGACATAATATTTCAAGCAATGACTTGACGATATAATATAAACAGAGACTGAGTCCACAAAATACAACTCAAACATTTATGAGATTATATTTTTATCAAATTTCAGTGAGCAGTTTAACGTTCAACTCAGACGAGCATCAATTTTTTAAGGGAGAATGACGACTTTGTGATATATGAATAGTCAGGTGATTATTTGTAAATTTTAATAGTTGGAGAACTCAGTAAAGCAACACCTAATAGTCAGGAGACTATTTTGTAACTTTCAATAGTTGAGAGACTCAATAAAGTAATGCCTTATATTTGGAGGACCATTTGTGTACTTTACCCAATCTTCCGCTAAATAACTTCTCACAACTGCATAAGGTGAGAATTCTATATAAAAGTAATTGTTGAAAAAAATTTGGTTAGACGTCCTAAGTATGAATTTACAGTTTTTCCATTGGAGTATCCTAAAGATCTTTCAAGTATTATCTCGGAAGAATTTCTAACCATTTTGCAGGCTTTAAAAAATTATCCACACAGTGAAGAGTATTTCAAGCTGACATACATATAAAGAAAGCACCAAGCAACCATTAAAAAAGAGGAATCCAATGATCTGGTGACAAAGGAATTATTGATATTTTTTACACCTATTTTTTAAGTCTAACAGTATATAATGCAGAAAAAGAAGCTTCGATAGTGGAGCATATGAAAATGATACCGCCATAGATAGTGAAGCATAAGCCTCAGCATTTGTAGAGCAAATAGATGAATCTCCGAACGGATTGTTGGACTCCTTGCAGATGGCTGGAATCAAAATAAGAAGCAAATTCCCCATATTTCCTGATCAAAACAAGCTCATCTTTTACATTGTTTTTCTCTACAGGTAATTGATCACACAGTAACATGGTGGACAAAATGAAGCAAAAAATTTACCTCCAGAACAGCAACCAATGACCATTCCCTGGAGGTGTTTAGGTGTTTTGGTGATTCTTATGAGAACCCAAGCCAGTGCTGAGCCAATGATGTATGTTATAAAAATATTCACCGGCATGAACCACCTACCAATAAAAACAAAGAAAATTGTTATGACGAAACTCCTCCAATAAAGACACCCGGGGTCATACCCACTGAACGAAGCATGTAGAAGTCCCCCGAAAATGTCATGTCACCCCTAAAGTCACTAACGCCAGATGTCCTAGTTTTTTACATGACTTCGACAGCCAAATCTGATGGCTGATAGCATGATAACCCTAGGTCTAGTATCAACCTGCTTTTAGCAAGCATGATGATCTTAGGTCTAGCACAAGTCTCCCTACAGTCGAGATATATATACCTCAAGAGAGATTGAAAAAATTATACTTCTTGTCTCCAAGTTCCCACTTAGAGAAAGCTATTTTCTTCTCTACACCACATTCATCCTAACAGAGAAGGTCACCGGCTAACTGCCAATCCACCCCCGGTTACAGTCTTTCGTCCAAATCAAAAGTGGTAAACTGTCAATTACAGACAATACCACATTTGTTCCCATCAACAAAAACAATATGACCAAACCGAACCCCATAAGATTGAAACAAGGTGAGGGATGGAATTAAACTAACAAGTTAAGAAAGCTTTGGAAAGTGACGGTTTCAGCCAAGCTGCTGCCCACAAATGCAGGACCTAACACATAGAATACAAGCTGCACATCAAGAACAGCAGATAACGGATATAAGTTTTAGGGTTGGGAATAGTATGATGCCATAAGGCAGTGGAGGAAAGCATTTGCTTACATTGTTGAGATGGTGCCTTGCCCCTAGTCCCAATAGATTTATGCGATCCAAAGCAAGAAACAAACCAAGACCAGTAATCAATATTACCTTTAGAACTGGCATTAAAGCCACAATGAACAGATCCATAAACCCCATCTGCAAAAAGCAGTATTCATGAATAATATAAAATTATACATATATACAGTGAACAGTGAAAAACACGCAGGTGGATTTCATCTATACTTTTTGAGTAAGCTAACCAGTTTGCAGCTGTTTGATGCTTTTCCTTTCGCTGCAATTGAATTTGTTTTGGTGCTGAAAGATGCTATGTTATATTCGTTCTCTTTTGTTGCAGCTCGGACGACTGATTGGTCTTGTTGTCGCTTTGTCTTTGTCCTTTGTTCATCCTCCATGATGCTGTTTATAACTTTATTATATTGAGCAAAACAAAATAATATTGGATCTTGCCCATATATATAATTAATCAACATTTGATTTCTTTCATCTAACTATCTTAAAAATTTTTAGTTTTACACCAAGTATAATTAGATTTTATTCATATATATATATATATATATTACATGTTGGGAAAAATGACTAAAGTTTTTTTTTAATACAGAAAACTAGCAGCAACTATTAGGATATATACGCTGCCTCCTGTGCAACGAGTTGCGCCATTTTCGCTATAGGTGCAGCAAAGAAACGTTCTCCAACAGTTGAGCCGCGAGATAACGCGATAAGAAAATCAATCACTGAATTATCCTCACTTCGAACACAACTGATTCTAGTTTCCCACTCTTATCCATCAACGATCTAATCGAACCCACAAGTATTATCCCGTTAAACATGTTCAAAGGTGGCCCAATGAATATACAAGTCAAAGTTATTCTCCATTACTTTATTACTTTCATACATAGTTAGCGAGTAAGTGATTTATTGGATTTAATACATAATGATATATGTGAGCTAATGAATATTTACTTTATTACTTTCAATGATGATTACAATTGATATGACTACATCTACCTTTTGTGCCACAAAAACTCCTGAAAAGTTTAAGAAAATTAAAAATGAAGTACAAAATAAATTAGAAAAGATTGTTAAAGTACTTTGATCAAATCAAGATAGAGAATACTTGCTTAGAGTTTAAAGAAATGTTGATATAAAATGAGATTGGCTCACAGTTTACAGAGTGTGATACTCCACAATGGGATGAAATTTTTAAAGAATGAATCGAACCCTATTAGACATGCTTTGATCAATGATAAAGTGATGGTTATTTAACTATTTCTTTTTTAGGATATGCACGTGAAACAATTGCCTTTACACTAAGTTGTGTTCCATCTAAATCAATTCAACATACACCATATACGTGGATTAAAAAACAAGTATATCTTTTATGAAAATTTGGGGGTAGGAAAGCTTATGTTAAACATCATATGTCTATAAAACTCGAATTTAAAATCTCATAACTGTATTTTTATTGGATATCCTAAGGAAAAAAAGTATATTAACTCTTTACTTCTGTCAAGAATAAAATATTTATTGCCCGAACACCAGTTTTCCTTGAGAGATAATTTATCTCTAAAAATGGTAGAAATATTAAACTCGAAGTAGTTAGAGAACAACAATAAATTCCACTAGTTACTGTGAAACAATCAATTTTTTTGGAAACACAACCAATTTGAAGATCTTTAAGAGAAAACCATGCACTTATAGATGTATTTCTTGTTACAACACATGGTGAACTTAGGACTTATCAAGAAACGGTTGCGAGCACAAACTCTAACAAATTACTTGAGGCCATGAGATCTGAGAAAGATTTCATGGCAGAAAATCAAGTACAAATCTTGGTTGACTAGCTTGAAGGGGTTAAGACCATAGAGTTGAAATAGGGTTTTAAAAATTAAACTAACATTGATGGTAACATAAAAACGTACAAAGGGTGATTGGTTGTGAAACACTTCTGTCAAGTTCTATAAATTATGATGAAACTTCTTTTCTTGTTGTTACATTTAAATATATTACTTTTTCATTGAAAAACTTGAAGGCATGTGTACGTGTCACACCCGAAGATTTTGCCAGTCCAAAGGATGCTAAAAATATATGCAAGCTATAGAGATATATTTATGAGTTGAAGCAAACTTCTTGAAGTTGGAATAAATTTTAATGATGTAATAAAGAGTTTGATTTCATAAAAACAAAGATGAGTCTTGTTTATAAGAAAATTAGTGTGGGAAATATTTGCATTTTTGGTATTGTGTGTGGATGACATACTTATCTTACATTCTAATAAGACTTGATTAGGAAGTTGTTTTCCTATGAAGGACTTGGGTGAGGCTACTTACATATTAGGGGTTAGAATTTATAAAGATAGACTAAGATGACTTCTAGATTTAAACCAAAGTACATATATAGATAAAGAGCTAAAAATGTTCAATATAGAAGAATCTTATGAGACATGTTGTTTCACTCTCATGTGTCTTTCAACTCCACAAGAGAGAACACGTGAATAAGATTTAATATGCTTCAGTTATTGATTTTATCGTGTATGTCATGCTATGCAAAATTCTTACCTATGAGACATGGTGTTTCACTCTTAGAGGAAAAGTGTCCTTCAACTCCGCTAGAGAAAGAATGCATGAATAAGAATTTATATGCTTCGACCATTGATTCTATCATATATCATGCTATGCACTCGTCCATATATTTCATGCTTTAAGCATGACAAGTCAATACCAAGTAGATCCCGATTAAGGACATTGAGTAATAGTTAAAAATACCATTAAGCACTTGCGTAAAATTCTCTGAATAGTTTAGAGCATAAAAATGTTCATTTTAATTGGGTTGATTGAATAAAGGCCAGGACGTTATTGTTACGGTTTAGGAATCAACATCGTGCGAAAGACAATCAGATTTGCAACAGTATCTTTGTGTTTTTAGAATTGTAAAAGATAACATTTCATCTCTTTTCAACCTGATTCGTTCCTCATACATAGACATGTAGGATGATCCCCCCATTATTTTTCTACTACATTACGGGGTATTGGAGCTTCCAATAAAAAGTAGCAGCTAAATCTGTTCCTTGACATTAACGACCTCCTCAAAAACAATGCTAGCGTTCTACTGTACCTGTACTTCACCAAACGGCACACTACCATTTGTAACAACAGGTTGCGCATCCATACTTGAGTGAGCAATATCTAGAACTTGTACCTCCCCCGTCGGTGTTTATCCTTACGCAACATCAAGGTGGACAATCCTACTTGATTGAGTAGTGTCCAGTTTCTAAGTTATAGATGAGATCCATTCCCTAAGATAAGATAGCTCGACGTTTGACTCTCATTTCTCTTTTGAAACTTTAGGCCTTTTCGTAGCCAATCTCTTCATTTAATGCTCTCTGAAGTCTGAACTCTAATAACTCCCCTTTGAGCTGCCATCAGACCCTTTATACTATTCTTTATCGCTCGAGTGTTGCAAAGATCATTCAAATTTCCATGTATCTAGTTAATGTGATTGGTTTAAAGGTAAACAGTTTGATATCGTTAAATAATTAAGTTTCAAATTCGAGGTTTTATGTATGTAGAAAATTCTGGTTAAACGACTCATTTACCAAAATTAGATATACGACATACGTTAGTCCGTATTAATTATCACAAAACTTTGAAAAGTCGAAAAGACAATTAAAAAAATACCATATATCTGATTGCTTGGTCCAATTCCCATCATTCCTCCCTAGCCCTTAGATTCCATAATTCCACTCACAATAGTTGCATACTTCCCTTACATTTGTAGGCTTTTACCGACAAACATATATTCTCACCCGAACCCATAATTTGGTTTCTAATAATAGTGCCAGTACTTCTCTATCTTCCGCTAAATTATTAGTGTCACTAGCTACACCATCACATAACTTCAATGGCTCGTCCCTCACCTTCATATTCCTTTCCAATTTTGCACCGACTTTCTTCTTCCACCGGGAACTTACAATTAAGAATGAAAACAGATCGGATTGAGTTGAGTTTTGACCCATCTGAACTTGATTTGAAATTTGAAATCTTTCATCTACACTTAATCTGATCAGGCCCTCATTTGAGCATGGCAGGAGGGCCCCAAAATTATAAATCTATATATAATTAGAAAAGGATAAATTATTTTTAGTCATTTATCTATTATTTAATTTTTGTTTTGGTCATCTAGTTATTATTATTTTCTAAAATCATACTAATGTTACATTTTGTTTCTTTTTTAGTTAGTCACCGTTAAAAAATTAATAGCGACTTTGATGTGGTAATTTTAAATTATTTTATATTTTCACTTAATTATTCTTTTATTATTTTTTTCCATCAAGATGAAGAAGGTTGAATTCGTATCTAAGCCCTCTTAAAATCAGGCTCATGTTTTTTTGTGAGTAGTTGGGTGTTTAATAAAAGTTATTGACTTTTTTTTATTTAAAATTTGATGTATTTATAATATAGTTATTAAACGTAATAAAGAAAACAATATACAAGTAAATTTATTTTTTTATTCTTGCAATTCAATTTTTTTCAATATTTGCTATCAGAGGCCTAATTTCTATGTTCGCCCTAGGTGACTAAAATCTCATAAACGGGTCTGAATTTAATCTTAGTTTAGGAAGACTCCCACTTGACCCAATATTTTAGGTTAAAAATCGCATCCAATCCGATCTGACCTATATATATATTATAAATTTTTTTATTAGATAAAATAAGAATTTAATTAAAAATTTAAAATAAAAAAGATTATTAGTGTAATTATTCCTAAATATATAAAGGATAATTATATAATTTTATGTCGGATCGAGTAAAATTTTTCATCTTAAATCTGAACCCAACCTAAATCGATTGCACTCTAAAAAAACTCAATTTAACTCAATCTGAACTCAAAATTTTAAAATATAAAATTAACCTCCCAAGTCAGATAAAATCAAATTCTTCGAATCTGAATAAAATGACGATCCTACTTACATACGGACCATAAAGATCTTTCGAGATATACAAACCTTAATTTGATCAAATACGTCTAAAAATTGATCTTAATTTTTCTTAATGGAAATAGAAGAGTTTAGCTAAATAGCAACACTGTTGCTAATAATATCCACTTACAAAAAGAGAGTTAACACCGTCTGGAGGGTCCTCGGGAACCAATGGGCAGGTGGAAACCAGCACGGGTCATGTCGGTAACAACTTCATTCAATTCCTGGTAAACATGTCTCCCACATATACGGTACGTAGAGATGGACACAAACTCGTAGAATTTTAAAAAGGAGTAA